GGAGATTGCCTCTCCTTTTCCAGCAGAGCATCTGGTGGATTCTAACCACGTACCTCTGGGATTGCAGTGCAACTTCTTGCCACTAGGCCACCAGAGCTCCCTCATCATATTTATTCTTGAGATAGATAGTTTTTTAATTCTGCTGGGAGAGATTCGGGGTTGTATTTGAGTTCTTATGGACTTATTTCAATCCGAATGTGAAAACTGTCAATTTGAACTTGCAGATGGATAGCTGGTGATCTGCTTCACAGTGACCTTCTGGAGTTATTTTGACTGCTGATAGTGAACTTCTCCAAGGTCTCTGCCCATAGTGGTGGTCAAACTGATTCTTGTGTAGTCTATCAAATGAGGACCATGTTTGTTGTTATGTTTCATCAAATTTGAACCAACTTATAGCTGACCCTCCAATAGGTTTTCAGAGGCAGTTAAATCACATGGGCAGCTATTGACCATTTTTCTCCTGCAGCTAGTAGATTTGAACCACATACTTTTGGGTTGGCAGTGCAATTCCTTACCACCAGAGCTCCCAGACCAGATATATAGTTACCATTTATGCTTTCTTTTAAAAAGTATTTACAATTAATATGTCATCCAGTGTTTAAAATTCTAACATTTGTTTTCCAGCCTCATTTCTGTCACCAAACACAGACCATCTTTATTTTCGACGTTTGTATTCCAGTCACCAATTATTATTATTACTGCATCTTGACTGGACATTTGATCAAATTCAGACTGCAAAAGTTGGTAGAAATCCTCAGTTTCTTCACTCAACCCTGGTGCTTCGTTCATGTATTTGACCAATAGCTGTATTCATAGATCTTCCTCATATAAATATAGGTGATTTCCTATCATAGGAAAATTTTTCAGATTAGAACTGAAATGTGCCTTTTAACTATGAATGCAACTCCATTCCTCTTCAATTTGTAATTTCTAGCATAGATGATCATTTTTATTGCTATTATGTGCCAGTGAGTTGTCTGGGACCCATAGTAACTCTATGTACAGCAGCTCTGAAGCCTGCCCTGTCCTGAGCCAGTCTCACTAATTCTGACACATCAACTCCCATTGCCCCAGTCACTGTATCAATCCATCTCATCCGGAGTCTTCCTCTCCTGCACTGTCCCTCCACCCTGCCAAGCATGATGTCCTTCTCCAAGGATCTGTCTCTCCTGGACACATGCCCAAAGTATGTGAGATGAAGCTTCAAAATCCTAGCCTCCAAGGAGAAACTTGATTTCACTCTCTTCAAGATAGACCTATTTGGTTTTTTTGGCAGTCCAGAGTATGTTCAAGACTCTTCTCCAGCACCAGAGTTTAAAGCCATATACTCTTCTTCTGTCATCCTTAGTCATTGTCCAACTCTCTTAAGAGTGTTTATTGTGGAGCTGAGCAAGCTGTAATTGTTAACAACCTCAATCTCTTCTCCATCTATCATAATGTCGCAAATAGGCCCAATGGTGAGAATCTTTGTCTTCTTGATGTTAAGCTTCAAACCATATTGAAGACTATAGTCCTTGACCCTCTTAAAGCAAGTGTTCAGGTCTTTTTCAGTTTCAGCAAGCAAGGTTGTGCCATTTGCATAATGTAAGGTTTTTTGGGTTTAGGGCTTTTTTGTATATATAATGCCTAATCATATATTCCTTTTACCTTTTTAAATTTTCTACATCAAAAAAACAAAAATTTTTTTTTAGTACTGGGCCAATTGGCAGCATCATGATGGATAATGAAGAGATTAAGATTGTTGCCAGCTTCAATTTGCTTGGACCTACAGTCAACAAACACTCTTGGTACCAGCAACCAGGATATTAAAAGGCAAACTGTCTTGAAAAATCTGTTGTCAGACACCTCTCCAAAGTACTGAAGAGCAACAATGTCAATCTTTAGACTAAGGCATGCCTGATACAGGTCATGGTCTTTGCAATTACTTGCTATGCATCAGATAGCTGGACAATGACTCGGGATGATAGGAGAGTTGATGTCTTTGAGCTTTAGTGCTGGAGAAGAGTACTGAATATACCATGCACCGCTAAGAAAATGAACAAGTTCATCCTGGAGAGGGTGTAACCAGGCTGCTTCTTGGAGGCAAGGATTCTGAAGCTTCGTCTGACCTACTTTGGACATGTTGCAAGGCAAGATCAGTCCTTGGAGAGGGATGGCATGCTTGCGAAGATGGAGGGGCAATGCAGGAGAGGAAGACCCTCGATGAGACAGATTGATTCAGTCACTGGGATAATGGGGATAGGCATGTTGGAGACAATAATATTGGCACAGGATAGAACAGGGCTTAGGGCTGTTGTACATAGAGTCGCTATGAGTCGCAGGCGACTCAACAGCATATAACAACAACTAGCTTATTTACTGCATAATGTTAAGTTTTTCATGAGTCTTCCTCCAATCTTGATGCCACATTCCTCCTCATAAAGCCCTGCTTCCCACATGAACTGTTCTACATATAGATTGAAATGATATGGAGACAGGATCCATCCCTGACGCACTCCTTTTCTGATTTTGAACAACACAATGGATTCGATTGTACAACTCATAGTCTCCAATACCAGTCCATGTCAACGCACTAGCAATGACTAGGATTTTTATCTTGATGTGTCCCATTTCTTTTGTGACAACTTCCAATCCTATGTTTATACTTCGTACATTCCATATCCTTCTTAGCAATGAATATTTGCAGCTTTTCTTCCTTATTTTAAGTTTTGTCACATCAACAAATGAAGGCCTTTCATTGAGGTAAGCTTTAATCCATCCAAGTCATTTTGGTAATCTATACTTTGAGGAGGCAGCTCTTCTCCAGTTCCATATTTAGGACCTTCCAGCATAAGGGACTCATCTTCGGGCACTAAATCCAAGAATGTTTTTCTACTATCTATACGTTTTTATATTTGTTATTTCAGAAGTGGATGGCAGTTCCCGTTTCTTCGTCTATCTTGGCTAGCGTGGAAGCTTCCCTGAGAACTACCCACCGTGAGTGATCCTGCTGGTATTGGAAATACTGATGATATAACTTCCAGCATCATAGCAACATACAAGCCACCAGAGTATGGCAAACTGACAGCAACTTAACAGTATCTGGTGGCCTAGTAGCCAGAAACTGAGCTGCAACCCTAAAGGTGTGTGGTTCAAATCCACCAGCTGCTCCATGGGAGAAAGACAGACAGTCTCCTTCCGTGTGATTAACTGCTTCTGAAAACTCACCAGAGGGTCAGCTATGGGTCCATTTTGACTTAATGGTACACAACAGCATTATCAGAAAAGATAAGACACAAACATGATACATAGAGTTTTTCACTTGTAAGAATTCAGAATCGGGAAAGACCACTCAATGAATGTTCTTTGCTCTTATAAAAGCGATCATTGTGAGAAGCAGTAATCCATTATGCAATAAACTGCTGCAGCTAAATTCCAACTCTCATGTCTCCTTCATTGTTGGAACATAAGAAGACAGTCTTTGTTCCACAGGGCGGCATGTCCATGAGATGTCTGCTCCTTTAATCTTTGCAAACTGCATAAAGTAGAAATTTAAATTCTTCCTTAAAACATAAGGGCTGGTGTATAGTGGTTCTGTGTCTATGTGCTAGCAGAATCAGGAAATTTCAGCCCAGTTAAAGATTCTCACATAAAGTTCCAATCTTTTGGTCAAAGAAATGTTGGTATAAGGGTATATGAAGAGAAAATAATATCCCTTGGCCCTCAACCAGGCTTCAAGCTGCAGAAAAGCTAAGTAATAGTCCAATTAACTTACTTCCCAAGCACCATGAAAATCAGCAGTGACTATACAGTGATTGAAAAAAATCACTAAGCACTAAAAAAGTGCCTAATTAAACCTTTGTCCTTTCTTTGCTCCTTTAAATCTTACACCAACACAGCATTCATCAAATAATGTGCTCCACAATCAACCCTCTTGGCACCAGCAGCCAGGAAACTGAAAGACGTATTGCATTGGGAAAGTCTGCTGTCAGAGACCTCTCCAAAGTACTGGAGGGCAATGATGTCAATCTGGAGACTAAGGTGCACCTGACACATGCCGTGGTCTTTGCAATTACTTGCTATGCATCAGAAAGCAAGACAATGACTAGGGATGATAGAAGAAGAACTGATGCCTTTGAGCTGTGGTGTTGGAGAAGAGTATTGAATATACCATGGACTGCTAAGAAAACTAACAGGTTTAGCCTAGAGAGGGTGAAAACAGGCTTTTCCTTGGAGGCAAGGATTTTGAAGCTTTGTCTGACATACCTTGGACATGTTGCAAGGCAGGATCAGTCCTTGGAGAGGGATGTCATGCATAGGAGGGTGGAGGGATGGCACAGGAGGGGAAGAACCTCAATGAGATGGATTGACTCAGTGACTGGAGTAATAGGGGTGGGTGTGTCAGGGACAATAAGATTGGCACAGGATAGAGCAGGGTTTAGGGCTGTTGTACACAGGGTCGCTATGAGTCACAGGTGACTTGATGGCACATAACAACAACTATGCAGAAAAAGGCTGTGTGGAACATAGGCCAGTCTGCTTTCCCAGTCAACCATCTCCAGACCTTATAGACTATGAAGACATATCCCGAAGTCAGCTTGTTAGTGCCAGCCTAACACCGAAGAAAGAACAACAGCTTCCAAAGCCAGCTTGGAAGATCAAAGGTGATGAGTGATGGCTCCACTTCCAGAATGTCATTGTAACATTACTCATCTGAAGCTGGCCTTAGGAATACATGGCGAGTCCAGCTGTCTGCCTGTCATCCCCTCCCCACCATGTCACCCTCTTACCCCACCTACACAGGGAGGTGATGTGGAGAGGCAGGGATTGTTACATAGGCAAGTGACCTCAGGACTGCAGGTATCAATGACAGATCATGGGCTTCTCAGTAGGGACAGCCACTTGCAGCCACCCAGCTGAAGCCGCATAGAAGGGAAGAACCTCTCTACTGTAGAAGGGACCACAGGGTTCTAGAAGAGGCATCCAGAGTCCTGTGGGGCGGGTACTGTTCTGTAGGCGCCATGGACACCGCTATGTGTGTGTGTTCTCCGTGTTGCACCTGGCAGAGATGCTGTCCCCGGTTATGCTCCTGTTTGTGTTGCAAATTCCTCTTCACTTCCGAGCGCAATTGCACCTGCTTCCCCTGTCCCTACAAGGACGAGCGGAACTGCCAGTGCTGCCACTGCACCTGCGCCGAGAACCCCAACTGCCACTGGTGCTGCTGCTCGTGGGCCAATGACCCCAACTGCAAGTGCTGCTGCATCACCAGCAACAACTTCACGTGCCACTACTACGAGAGCCGCTGCTGCCGCAATGCCACAATCTCCTTCCACAAGGGCCGCCTGCGGAGCATCCGCACCTCGTAAGTGCAGAGCGAGCGGCCTCCCAGGGGCGTGGGGCACGAGGGGCTCCGTGTGTCAGGCCAGGTATCCTGCGGTCCACTTACCCGTCTAAAAAGAGACGGCAGTAATGTTATAGAAATGTTATACAATCCCTCCCCCCAGGTCCACTCCACTGCACAGCCTTCCTTCTGGACTCCTGTCATGACAATAATACCCAGTCACATATCCCTTTTAAACAGTTCTCTCCCTCATCTGTTTCAATGCAGTATACATTATTCATCCCATCTTTCTCAGTCTCCCCCACCCCCAACTCCGATGTCAGTCTTGTTTTACAACAGTAGTACTATGCAGTATTTGTCCTTTTGTGACTGAGATATTTCACTCAGCATAATGTCCTCCAGGGTCACCCATTTTGTATAATATTTCATGAGTTTCTTATTTTCCAGTGCAGTGTAGTATTCCATTGTGTGAATATAACACAGCTTCTCTATCCATTCGTTTGTTGATGGGCACTTGGGTTGTTTCCAACTCTTTGCTACTGTGAAAAAAAGCCTCCATAAACACGAATTGTATAACAAAGAAATAATTTTGCTTTTACTTTTCAAAACGAAAGCTGCATAGTGGAGCGGACTTAGGGGGAGGGATTGTATAACAATGAAAGAATTTTTCTTTTGCTTTTCAAAGAGAAGAGCGAACTGAGGAGGAGGTTGTGAAGGGAGAACAGTGCAGTGAATGAATGGACATCCAGTCTCTGTAAACTTTCATTAAAATTAATTTTAAAAAATTTTTAAAAGTGAAATGAAGTGTCTGCTGTGAGTAGAGGCTAGTCCTTAGATAAAGACATCATGCTTGGAAAGGTTGAGGGTCCGTGAAGGAAAGGAGGACCCTCAAAGAGATAGATTAACACCGTGGGCTCATGTCTATCAGAGACGGTAAGGATGGCAAAAGGAGGGCCTAATCCAGATCTCTTGTTCGCAGGGACACTATGAGTGGTGGTAGATTTCATCACACCTTACATTAACTGTGAATGAGAGTTGCACACTACTGATCCTCACTTCCTGATAATAGGAATTAATATTTCAACCTTGAGCAGCTTTTCAGTCACTGATGGTGTTGTATGCTGTTGACTCATAGCTGATCGCCCAGCAAGTTTTCAGAGGCATGACAGGAGATTGTCCATCCTTCTCCTACAGAGCAGCTGGCGGATTCAAACTCTGTGCCTTTGGGTTAGCAGTGAAATTCCTTATCACTAAGCCACCAGAGTTCCCTGCTGCCCTTAGAGGTTTTTTGGTGTCTGAATGTTCAGCCACAAGAGTGAGCTCTGACACACACCCATGTTTATCGCGGCTTTGTTCATAATAGCAAGGAGTTGGAAACAACCCAAGTGCCCATCAACAAACGAATGGATAGAGAAGCTGTGCTATATTCATACAATGGAATACTATGCTGCATTGAAAAACAAGGAACTCATGCACTATTATTCAAAATGGGTGACCCTGGAGGATATTATGCTGACTGAAGTATCTCAGTCAAAAAATAACAAATACTACATTGCCACTGTTGTAAAGCAGGACTGACCTCTGGCCTCGGGGGGAGACTGAGAAAGATGGGATAAAAAATGTATACTGCATTGAAACAGATGAGAGAGAAAACTGTTTAAGAGGGAAAATTATTAGGGATTTTTGTCATGACAGGAGTCCAGAGTGAAGGCTGCATAATGGAGTGGACCTCGGGGGAGGGATTGTAAAACAGTGAAATAATTTTTATTTTTTTTTTCCAAGAGGGTAGTGTACTGGGGGGCGGGGGGGAAGTTGGGAGGGGAGAAAAGTGCAACAATGAATGAATGGAAATCCAAAGTCTCTATAAATTTTCATTGAAATTAATAAAAAAAAAAAGAATGGGCTCTGTTCTGGGTTCAAAGGATCACTAAAACCTATAGTCTCAGGGGCCCTTCAATGGCTATCAGATCAACACGCATTTCCATTTTTTAAAAAATTTTAGGGTGTGTGTGTGTGTGTGTGTGTGTGTGTGTGTGCACGCGCGCGCGTCGTCAAATCAGATCTGACTGGCACAGGAGGAGATTGGCGATTGATGTGCCTTCTCCAGCAGAGCATCTGGTGGATTCGAACCGCGTACCTCTGGGATTGTAGTGCAGCTTCTTACCACTAGAGTTCCCTTAAACCTTTCCATTTTTATACTGTTGAATTTTATTCCACATTTTCCCTGCTCTGTCTAGGACCTTCTACTATGACCCTTTTTAGAATGGTCAGCAGAGACAGGTTGTTGTTGTTTTGTTGTTGTGGTGTTGTTGTTGTTATGTGACAGTGACTCTGTGTGCATTAGCTCTGAATCCTTCCCTATCCTGAGCCAGCATCTCTGACAGATCTAATCCCATTTCTCCAGTTACTGAGTCAATCTATCTCATCCAGGGTCTTCCCCTCCTGCGCTGTCTCTCCACCCTCCCAAGCATTATGTCCCTCTCCAAGGACTGGTCCCTCCTGGTCATGTGCCCAAAGTTTCAAGATGGAGCTTCAAAATCTTAGCCTCCAGGGAGCTGTTTGGTTTCACCCTGTCCAGGACAGACCCGTTTATTTTCCTGGAAGTCCGTGGTATGTTCAACACTCTTCTCCAGCACCACAACTCAAAGGCATCGATTCTTCTTCTACATCCTTGTCCAGTTCTCTGATTCATAGCAAGACCATGACCTGTATCAGGTGCACCTTAGTCTTCAGTCTGGCATCCTTGCTTATCAGCACTCTAAAGAGGTCCCTGACAGTAGACTTTCTCAATGAAATTTGTTTTTTGATTTCCTAACTGCCAGTGCCAAGAGTGTTGATTGTGGAACCAAGAAAGCTGAAACTGTTAATAATCTCAGTCTCTTCACTGTTTATCGTGAAGCTGCCAATTCGCCGAGTGGTGAGAATCTTTGTTTTCTTGATGTTGAACTTTAAACCATATTGAAGACTATAGCCCTTCACCTTCTGCCTCATGTCCTCCTCAGTTTTGGCAAGCAAGTTATATCATATGCATAATGCAGGTTGTTGGTGAGTCTTCCTCCAGTCCTAATGCCATATTTCCTCCTCATAGAGCACAGCCTTTCTGTTTCATCTTTGAAATTGAAATTTGTCAATGTCAGCCAATTCTTTTTGGTTCAATGACTCTGTGTATTCCTTCCATCTTCTTCTGATGCTTCCTTAGTCATTCAACATTCTTTCCTCAAGTTTCTTAACTATTGCAACTCAAGGCTTAAACTCGTTCCTCAGCTCCTTCAGCTTAAGAAATGCCGAGCAAGTTTGTCCCTTTTGATTTTCCGACCTCAGCTCTTTGCACATAGGCACATTCTATTTCTTTTCCTTTTAGAGTCATGTCAGTTGAGATTCACACTGTCTAATAGTCATTTGAAATGGTTTTTAAGGCATCTTCGCTTTTCTCTCCTCTTCTTTGTCCCAGACAGAGAGAGACTGCTAGTTAGACCTTAGATGGCTGGTCTCAAGATATTTATTTTTTTTTAACTTGTGGTCAACAGAATTTTATAATTTTTTTTAGTATGACTTTGGTGAAAGCTTACAGAAAGAATTTTTTTTAATTTATTCATTGATACACATTTTCCTCCCTTGTCCTCTCCCAATTCACATATCATGTTTCAGATTATCAATTGCCATTGGGTTTGAGATTTTAATATTCTACTATATTGAGCTCTGGTGATTAAGCATTAAGAAGTTGTACTACAATCCCAAAGGCACACAGTTCAAACCCACCAGCAGCTCCATGGAAGAAGGATGGGCGATCTCCTCCCATGCAATTCACTGCCTCTGAAAACCTGCCAGAGTATCAGCCATGGGTCGGTTCTGACTCCACAGTCCACAACAACAAGAAGTCACTATTAAAGTAAGATATACAACAGTGTGTTTGAGAACTATGTTATGCCAATCATTCTTAATATCCAAGGGTCCCTTTTGACCCCTACAGATTATTTAGGTACCTTCACACTATAATTCCTGCCAGCTTTTCTTCTCTTCAGTCAAAAGTCATTACACTTGCAACAATGAATGAATGAAAACCCAAAATCTCTGTAAATGTTCATTAAAACTAATAAAATTTAATAATAAAAAAAGTTATTACACTTAAGGCTTCAATTACCCATTTGGGGCATTAACCCTCAATTGTCTGGCATTCATAGCTTCTTCTCAGTCTGTCTAAGGATAATGCAGGGTTAAAACAGTGCATTACCAAGAGGAGAATATATAAAAGCTCATTCTTATAAAGTGACTTGAAGGGACAGAGAAATGAGAGGCAGGACTGAGTTCAGAAATGTGGGCTACCTTACAACTATCAGCACAGTTAATAGTAATAGATGTCAATAGATTTATTCTATTTTAAAAAAATTTACAGAGACTTTGGATTTCCATTCTTTCATTGTTGCACTCTTCTCCCCTCCCAACCCTCCCCCCAGTACACTACCCTCTGGGAAAAGTAAAAGAAAAATTCTTTCATTGTTTTACAAACCCTCCCCCAGGTCCACTTCACCATGTAGCCTTCGCTCTAGACTCCTGTCATGACAAAAATACCTAATCACATATCCCCTTTAAACAGTTTTCTCCCTCATCTGTTTCAATGCAGTATACATTATTTATCCCATCTTTCTCAGTCTCCCCCCAACCCCGAAGTCAGTCCTGTTTTACAACAGTGGCACCATGCAGTATTTGTCCTTTTGTAACTGAGATACTTCACTCAGCATAATGTCCTCCAGGGTCTCCTATCTTGAATAATATTGCATAAGTTGCTTGTTTTTCAACACAGCATAGTAGTCCACTGTGTGAATGAATATACCACAGCTTCTCTATCCATTCGTTTGTTGATGGGCACTTAGGTTGTTTCCAGCTCCATGCTATTGTGAACAAAGCTGCAATAAACATGGGTGTGCATATATCTGCTTGGATGTCAGTTATGGTCTCTTCAGGGTATATTCCCTCCCAGTAGTGGAATTGCTGGGTCAAATAGTATCTCTATTTGCAACTTTTTGAGAAAGCGCCATACTGCCTTCCACAGTGGTTGCACCAATAGATTTATTCTTAACCCATGAATTTCTTATTTGTGCTGATGTGAATATGGAGGTTCTGTATACAAACTAGGACGTTTCAGGATGTGGAAAATAGTGCCCACAATCCCCTCTCCTCTCATTTAACTGTTTTCTGTGCATCAGCTATTGTTGTCAGTGCTATTGTTACTTGCCATCCAGTTGATCTTGACTCATTGCGGCCCAGGGCACAACAGCTCTGAGCCCAGCCCTCTCCTGGGCCAGTCTCCCTGGGTCTGACACACATACTCCCACGACCACAGTGACTGTGTCAATCCATCTCATCCAGGATCTTCCCCTCCTGTACTGTCCCTCCACTTTTCCAAGCCTGATGTCCTTCCCCAAGGACTGATCCCTCCTGGCTACATCCTCAAAGTATGGAGAAGGAGCTTCAAAATCCTGTGCCTCCAAGTAGCAACCTGGTTTAATATTTATATTAAACCATAGAGGTTTCTGAATTCATTTCATTGAAGGTAAGAGGAGACTAACTATACTGTTTGGAAATGTAACCCTGTCCAAGAGCTTCGAAATTGTGTTATACGTCAGAATCATCTAGAAACAGGAATGTACAGGAACTGCGCCAAAGAAGAAGAGCTACAATGTCGATAGTAAAACACAACCCTGAACAAATCAAGATGAAATAATAACACAGTCATAAATTGTTTCTCTCTCTCTCTCTCTCTCTCTCTCTCTCTCTCTCTCTCTGTCTCTCCTCCCTCTCTCTCTCTCCCTTCCCTCTCTCTCCCTCTCCCTCTTCCTCTTCCACTGACTCAACAACACAACAATGTGATATTGCAGAAGGCGCCCTGGTGGCTGGAGGCAAGGTGCTGCACTGCCAACAAAAAATGTGATCATGTGAGAGAAAGAAAGGGAATTATCTGTGAGATTAAACTGCCTCTGGAAACCTGCTGGAGTGTCACTTATGAGTCATTTCCAACTTGATGGAGGGTCAGCTATGGGTTGGTTCCAGCTCGATGGTAAACAACAACAATGTGATGTTCCAAAGTGGTGGTTGTTTTTAAGTATTATGAGTCGTAGGCAACTCATAGAGACCCTATGAGTGAAAGACCTGAACACTTGTATAACTTCATTTCTCCAAGTTCATAGGATTTCCAGAGGCAAGCTATTTTGGAAGTGGATGTCACTCCTACTCCCAAGCTTGTTTTAATTGGGGAGCTCCACCAAACACCGTCCACCATGGGTAACCATTATCGCATTTGACACATCAGTGTCACAGTGTTCAGCATCACAGCAACCACGAGTTATCTGTACAGAAAATGGACAGACCAGTGCTTCTACCACTTAGAAGAATATTTGACCAAAAACAATTAAAACCTGGCCTGAGGGCTACAGATCAAAATCACCCACCAAAGTGATAGGAAGTCTCTAACAGAATATCTTGATAAATGTTACCTAGAAAAGGGGAATCCCGAGTACAGATGGAGTTGGGGAGAGAGGCTGTAGTCCCTCCATTAGCAACGGTAGAGGAATGCATGGTCCTTTTTTGGGGTGTGGACAATGTTCTTGAACTTGTCTGAGTTCAGCTATAACCGTGGAGTGGTCTTGTTTCTGTTTTCCTTCATCCTGTAACAGAAAGGCTTTGCCTGACGCTGCTGTTCTGTCCTATCATTTATGTCCAACAGGAGGTCGTCAGCATCCAGCTGATCATGCAGCCCTGGACTTCCTGTTAGAGCAGCGTTTTCTCTTGCTTAGAAACAACAGCAGCATCAGCACGAGGCCACAGCACTTCCTGTGTCCCAGGAACAGCTGTAAACCCTCTACAAATATGAGCTGCATTTCAACTTTTCTTTTTTTTTT